ATTTTTTTTATGATATAGATAAAACTGGGATTAGTATGACATCAGTCATAATTCAAAGACATTGAAGTACTTTCATATTTAGAAGATAAATATAAGGAATTAGATATTCTTAATTTGTATCCACATGTCAAACAAATTTTTTTTAAATATGACACATCATTGCCGTTATCAGCGCCAGTAGAGCGCCTTTTTATTTGTGGACAACAAATATTAATTTCACGTAAAAACCATTTGTTAGACGAAATGTTCAAAACACTTTTATCCGTAAAAAATAAAGATTAATGAAAATACACATTTTTTGTATCTAAATGCCCAATTTCTTCACTTCCAGACAAGTTGCGGACACCTTCTTATCCAGGAGATATCTCTATTGTATTCTGGAAGATATTTCTTAGATAAAGTTATCTAGAGATGAAGAAATTGGGCATAAATCGTTTTACTGCCTAATAGTTAGTTAAAAACAAAATTATCTTAAAAATTATCTAGATAAAAATTTTTTTAATTTCATCTTTTATCTAGATTAATGTGTGTTGTGTGTGTGTGTGTGTGTGTGTGTGTGTGTGTGTGTGTGTGTGTGTAATCATACATAAGTAAATCCGGCCGGGCAACCTCCACGCGGTACACCTTGGGTAATACTAATGCCGGCGGTACTGTAACTTTTAATCTTCATAACTCGAGATTTACTTAATCAAAAGATACTTTATTATAGGGTTTTAAAAAGCTCTTGACATCGACTATTAGATTCTAGAATAAAAAGTAGGATGTTCCATTTAAAAAAATCAATGTGACCTTGATCTGACCTTAGCAAAGCCACCTAAGGTCAAACTGATATGATCAATAAATACATCTTTTGGAACCCCACAACTTTGGTCTGAACATATTTTCGATTGAATCTCATCCTGCGGAGATACAAAGGGTGTACGGGTGGTCTAAAATACCCTGTATATATAATAGTATATAAAAGTTAACCGACCTCGTTAATCTTGCATCTCATAGAATAGACGTATGTACCTACGTGTCGAATACAAACGTGGACTATACTCGTTGCCTATACGAATACATTAGGAAATCACACCCCTGGGGGGGTGCATTCCAAAATCAACCTTGGTCAACCTTGTTGGTTGGAGGTTTGGAGGGGGATATACTTAACTAAGGTAGCAGTTATTTTGGAACGGTCTTGGATAGTGTGGGATGGTAGGGAGGGATTCCGTTCGTAAATGACCGATTCCAGTGGAGAGCTCAATTCTTCAGCTTTTCACATGGGAAGCTAGCGATCGATTTGTATTGGGAAGCTAGCGATCGGTTTGTGGTGAGTCCCTTCTAAGAGACGATGTTTTTTAACTTTTTAATTTTAAGGTCAGGAAATATGTCACATCGACTTAATGTAGTACACGTATTTTAGTCGGTATTTATTGAGAATCGTTATCTTACCTCCGATTTTAATGAAATTAATTGAAATCGTTCACAGAAGTTTACAACTTTCTACGCGAAACGCGGGGTCGGAGGAGGAGAGAAGGCGAAAACCTTCGCAATCGCTATAAGTACATATACATGTGAAAGATTCCTGCTCCCCTCCTCACCTCGTAAATCGAAAGTTGTAACAGATTTAACGCTTAATATCTCGATTCGCAGGACAGTCCCGCACTTTTCTGCTAGATTCTTTCATTTTGTGCAAAAATGCGTCGAATGAGCCTAATTTCATCGAAATTGGAGGAGAGGAAGTTCTTCTGAATAATCATCGATACATTGCTGTCGTCAATTTTTCCACGCCTTTTACTTTGGTAACCCTTACAACCTTTCTAATTTTCGATGTCATAAAAGTTACCTCTAAAGTCGACCAAGTAAGTGTTTTGGAACGGTGCTACAAATTAACCATGAACCGACCATGATAATTTTGAAACGGCTTGTGGTAACTAAGGTTGATTTTGGAACGCACCCCTGGTATGCAATACGGTAGTTACGATCTCCTTTCCAACAACCACCACAGTCGTATAGTTGCAAGAACAGAAATTATTGAACTCGGAAAATCGAAATCTTTCGGTAAATTTAGGAACTTCCCAGACAACATGCATGTCTAAAAGACGTCATAGAGACATCATTTGGAACACATATATGTCTAATGGGCTCTTTACAATAAGCTATTACTTAAGTTTTAAGTCTTAAATTATAAAACATTAATCAATCACAATCGAATGTATAAGAAGAATAATCGATTATAATTAATCAATTTCTTATAGTTTAAGATTAAAGCTTAGGTAATGACTTTAGGTAATGAGCTATTATAAAAAGCCCATAAAAGATATCTAAAAGACATCATAAAGAGATATAGACAATGTGTCTGGGTTAGAGCCAATATATACCAATATATTTAAATAATACATTAAAAATAATTTTAAAAAACAATTATAATTCTTAAATCATGAAAATAATATAAATTTTTTAAATTTTTTTTCGAATTTGTCAAAAGACCGTTGTTGATCATATCGAGGTAAATTGCTTGTACTGATCGCTGGTATTGAAGAGTACCATCACTTTAAACACTATACGTACTGCAGAGATTGTTGAGCCATCTGTTGGTGATATTTTTCATTCTATAATCGTTATTTATTATTTTACTATTTATTTTTGTAATTATCGAAAGGATATAAATAATTGAATCAAAATGAAATATCATAATAAACGTGTAAAATAAGATTGATAATTCTTTTTTAAGCGAGATAAAAATTTGTACGATTTATAATCATCACGATAAAACCGATTTCAGTTTTTTCACAAAACAAGTTGCAACAAAGTCAATCTATCAAAAAATTCTATGCGAATGAATTTGAAAAGAGAAAAGGAAAAAAGAGGATTGTTAGAAATTTCGTAGAATAATTGCATTAAACATCAGTCAAATGTGTTTTTACTCTGTCATAAGAAAAAATCGAATATTTTTCTAAAAAAAATCGTGTTCAGACAAATAATAAACAACAATGATGTATTTGAAACACTCGGAATGAATTGTATTCTGATTTTCATCTGACAATGAATATCTATTTATAATCCGCTTTACTTCACAGAAAGCAGTTCACGGTGCTCTATAGTTAAGGCAGTGAGAGAAATGATGAACCTTCAGAGAATCTAGACCCTCTATAGGGACGATATATCGTCAGGGAAAAGTTATTTCTCAAAAAAGGTTGAATTGTATGTGAATTGAGCACAGGTAAAATTTTAGAAATTTATTCAGATCGAAAGTTCCGTTGTCCCAAAAAAGGGACCATCTAGGTATACGATGATGAACGATTAAAATGTTGGTGTTAAAAGAGGTTACGCTCTTGAATTTATTATATGTGATTGCTGGTTAATATTGTTGCAGTTAAAAATCGTTATGCTCACTTATCGATAGCCGTGAATATATTTTGATGACGCATTATGCAAACTACATTATTATTATAATAATTGATGTACTCCCTCTTTTGATACCAAGAAAGACATGATCAGTCGAGCGATGACAACACGATGCAACGTACCGACTGGCGTCGTGAACGAAAACAAAATATGTCTTCGTACTCGAGCGAGCTGTCACGCTCGCAGGAATATTTGAGTTTTCGCAGCTCCGTACCGCTCAGAAAAATTGTTGTTGACGCCGACGGCACAAAGGTACTATTCTGTATTATTACAAATAAATTAATTCTGTATTAATTTACACGTTCGATCTCTAGTTAATTTATTTTCCTCTTTTTATTGATTTTCACAAAGTGGCCTCATAATTCTGATAAGTATAAGCATAGAAGTAAACAAAGAAACGGTAACATTTTGAAACGTTTTTACAATTGTTTTAGGGATGGAAGGTATACGATTCTAATCCAAAAACTATCAAATGTCCACTTATATGTCTTCCGCCTGTCTGTGGTACTGCTGATATTTTTTTTAGACAAATATTAGGTCTTGCTGCCAAAGGTTACAGAGTTATCTCGGTAAGTTAAACGATAAGCATTCTGAAGCATTTCAATATATGTAAAATAGTATAAGAGATGCAATTTTTTTTATATCTTGCTAATGTATAAATTAGAGGGTAAATAATAACTTGATTTTTATAGGCTGAGGCACCAGTATATTGGAGTATAAAGGAATGGTGTGACGGATTCAGAAAGCTGTTAGATTATCTAGAACTTGATAAAGTCCATCTTTTTGGCGCTTCCCTAGGTCAGAACGTACAAACAAAATATTCACTTTCAAGTAACAATAATTTAATCTAATAGATGAAATTTTATATTCACAGGTGGTTTTTTGGCACAAAAATTTACAGAGATAAATGCACACTGTCCTCGAGTAGTATCTCTGGTTTTGTGTAATACCTTCACAGATACATCTGTATTTAGTTATAATGATTCCGCAGCAGTGTAAGTGGGATATTTTAAATAGTAATACTTTTTAATGTAAGCGTAGATAAAATAATATAAATTTTTTTTCTTTTCGTAGTTTTTGGATTTTACCTTCATTGGTATTGAAGAAAATGGTAATGGGAAATTTTGCAACGGAGAAAGTCGATGGAGAGATTGTAGAAGCAATTGATTTTATGGTGGAACGGGTATGAATCTTAATTTTCTTCAAACTAATGAAAGATAAAAGATACAAAGAAAAAAATATTTATCCTAAATATTATATATGTTATGCATACGTTTTAATTGTGATTTGCAGCTAGAGAGCTTAACGCAACCCGAATTAGCGTCTCGTTTAACAATGAATTGCATAAATTGTTATGTACAACCTCAAAAGTTATGTCAATTACCTGTAACAGTAATAGACGTTTTTGACGAATATGCGTTATCAAATACAGTTAGAGAAGAAGTGTATAAATGCTATCCAAATGCAAAACTAGCACATTTGAAAAGTGGTGGAAATTTTCCATATCTAAGCCGATCCGCTGAAGTTAATTTACATTTACAGGTAAATACATTTATGAGATACAATTATAATTAAATCAATTATCGATGGCATGACATATAGAAGCATTTATTTACAGATTCACTTAAGACAATTTGAAGGTACGGAATATACGGCTTTAGAAAATGTTACGATTTAGCGCGATGCATTTGCGTTAGGAAAAATGTAATAAAATCTAAAAATTGTATATAAATATTAATTAAACAGAAATTCTCCTTTGCTCATATGCGGATATTAAGACTGTAGATAATCTCTATGCCTTTTGTATCAAGTAAGACGTATTATTTCTCAATGTTCGTTCAATGAAGGAATAATTGTTATATAATGCATAAGTATTCTAAGACATAATTATGTAGCTACTAGGAATTGTATGACATATATTGTTTAAGTCGTTATCTAATATTTCGTTTTTAAATATAAAAAGTATTTATATTTTGTAATAGCTTGATCTCATTTTAATTGTAAAAAAATCTTTTATGACTTATTCATTATCACAAAATAAAACTCTTTAATAATTTATAATATATAATAGCTATTTAAAAAATAAAAAATATGATTTTCTAATTCTTTTAGTATATGAATTTTGTACAAAATATTTTTAATTATTACATCTGTATGAATTTAATAACAAAATATTCTCAACAAATATATTTTATGTATTATTTCCTATTATGTACGAGAACGTATTTAATATTTTCGTAAAATTTCATATATAGTCTGTTTAACATATAATCTAACATAGTTTAACATACAGTCTGTTATTTTTATTATAGAAATAATTTCAAGTTGTTATTTTTATTTATTATGGTGTGTAGTTAGAAGTGACCATAGTTTGCTGGGTCGTCTAACCGGGAGACCGTATAAGAACTTGCTTGGTATCGATTCCTTCGAGTGTGCCTCTCTCGCGTTTCTCTTTTGCAATCTCAGATTACAGGGCCTGTTTTGCCCAGTATACACATGACATTATTATCTATGTATGTTACCTTAGAATTTTTCTCTGTTACTTATTATTTTTTAATAAAATTTTAATTATTTATAGTTTACTTTTTTTGTTACATGAAAAATTTAGTTTATATTTTTGATTATGTTTTTCTGGAAATATACGATATTTGTATTAAAGGACATAATTTTTTAACTTTATAATTTAATGCTAAAATATTAGCATTAAAACGACAAAATTTATACATTAAATACATCAATTCATAATCATAACAGACACTAATGTTGTACAAAAAATATTCACGAGATTTATCAAAAAAATTAATGAGTTTTGACTTGTGCTGGTAGATATCGATATAACGATAAGATTACGGTTATCATTGACTGAATATTATGCCATACTAATCCGTCTGATAGTTTGACACAATCTTTGCAAAGAACGACGTATTTCAGAGCTCAGTCTCTCACCTGCACGTGACGCGAACAGACAGCCGGCATCCGATATCGCGGTATTCATCGTGACATGTGGCGGTAACGATAAATTTAATCGTTTTTATATAAACATTGAAAGAGTCGAACATCACATTCGGATAGATACATCACGTAAATTTAATCCAATTATTTCTTTAATGTTCGCGAAATTTTCCTTCAGTCATAAATTAGAACATACATTAACGAAATGTTCTATGTGCAATTATTTGTGTATTTTTGTGTATTAAATAATTTTTACAGTTTAAGAAAAGAATATAAGATTATATACTGAATTCACAAAAGATTCAATCGCCGTTCAATCTTTATAGTGTAAAACATAAACTCTTATGGTTGTTCTACAATATGCTCTTTGTTTCCTGTTTCTTGCTTTTTACCTTTTGCTTTTTTCCTCTTTGTGATCGTTTTATCGACAATTATATTTCTTGATATGTGTTTTCTGTTTCTTCTGAAGTTCGTTAACGTTTATTTCGAGCAACAGAAAACGAAAAACAGGATAAGAAGCAAAAAGGCAAGATACAAAAAATAGCAAAAAGCAAGAAACAGGAAACAAAAAGCACATTGTAGAATAGGCTTTATGGATGTGTGTGTTTTACATAAAAGTAACATGTCTAACATGGTTTACTGAAATTGGTATTCAAATTTTTTTTAGTTATACTGGTTTTAATAAAGTATACTTTGAACCGTCGAGTACAAATAATCGGATTATCATAATAAGATCTTATGTTATTAATAATCTGTACCTAATCTCTCGCGTGATATTATTAAATGTTTTTCGTGTCGTATATGTTTATAAACTTGTCCGCGATCATCACGTAACTGTCCTTTAACAAGAAACTATCATAAAAGAAAACAGCTTGAAGCAAAATTCAATCAAGTGAAAGGAATGCTATAACCGCAGGTTTGCCTTATTGTTAGAAAGAAATAACGTCGTTACAAAAATTTGTCTTTATTATTATATGTTATAAACCGTAAATTTATTTAACTTTTGAATTTATTGTTGATATTTACGTAATTGAAAGACCTTTTTTCCTTTGCGAAACCGCAGTAAATAATTATTACATGTTATTCGTAATTTATTATAGTTACATTTTTCGCAGAAATAGGATTTTAGGAATGTTATCGTAATGGATTCACCATCAGAACTGTGAAAGTTTCCATCTTATCTTGGAAAGCTCACCTCTTTAAAATGGATAATGAACAAAGGCCTCTCGTGAACAGCGGAAGAATAGCAACGTCCACGAAAATCGCTTATGCTCTTGGACATGTTTTCAATGACCTAGCAGCTGCTATGTGGTTCTCCTATACCTTAATCTATCTACAACGAGTTGCATTATTAGAGCCTATCGTCGCTGGTGCGCTTTTACTCTTAGGTATGTACTCCATCTATTTATGCGCGAACGATGCTACATTAGTCATACTATTGATTAATGTTCGAACGATCTTCATTCAAGGACAAGTAATCGACGCCATTATGACACCCATATTTGGTTTCCTAATTGATCATTATTGCAACAAAAAAATTTGGCACATCGTTGGATCCGTGATGGTTACCCTATCCTTCCCCGTAATATTCGGCGGTTTTGTCAATTTATCAACTACGGTTGTGATGCTTTTATATGTAACAAGTATTACGATATTTCAAACGGGTTGGGCAGCCGTACAAATCTCTCATTTATCGATGATCCCCTCGTTAACTAATTCCGTTCTAGCTCGAGCAGATTTAACCGCAATAAGGTATGTGATTTGTGTAACAATCCTTTGAAAACGTGGGACTCTAGATAGTAATTGTAATGAACAGCGAGGTCTAAATGTTATTTCAAGATAAATTTACTCCTAGATATTCTGCTCAAGTTGGTGCGGCTGTGGTAGTTTTTGTAGTAACATGGATAGTTCTACCAACTAGTGGCAAATCGATGGTTCAATTGGATCAGCAAGATGACTATAAATTCAGAGTACGTAAGAAAAATATGAAGAAAAAAGACGGCAAAAAAGATATGCATGTGATTCTGATTTGCAGAATATCGTTCTGATCCTCACAGTTTTCGGTTTGATTGCGACTGTCTATTTTCACATTTTCCTGAAAGCGAATCTCTTGGACCAAACAATGTTCCTAAAATCGGACATCGAAAAGTCAACCAAGCCGTCGAATGTTTCGTTGAATCGTCGAATATCATGGATCGACGTCACAGTTTTATTAAGAGTCGCGATGCTGTACGTGGCGAGCAGATTATTTATCACTCTCGCTACGATATATTTGCCGTTGTATATAGAAGAGACAAAAGTTGATGGTAAGCAAGCATTGGCCAGTGTGCCATTAGTATCGTATGTATTCTCATTCACGGCCGCTTTACTACTCAAATACCTCAACAGAATTTGCAGTACCAAGGTAAATTTTTATAATAAGAAAAAAAAGAAAAGGCAAAGAGATGCTAAGTGTATTTTTGTTTCGTTGAATCGTAGGCTTGTTACTTTTTCGGCGCTGTAATTGGTATAATCGCCGCCGTTGTCACGGAATTTGTCAGAAGTAACTCAACAGTCGTGTACATCGTCGCCGTATTAATTGGCGTGGGAAGCTCTATCACGATGGTCACCGCATTGAGCGTCACCGCTGAATTAATCGGCTGTCGAACGGAACGTAGCGCGTTCGTATATTCAATTGTCACTTTCCTCGACAAAATCATCACTGGTCTCGTAGTGATATTCATCGAGAAATTGTGAGTAATCATCCAAATGTCATTTAATCACAGATTTCAGCCCTTCCATAATACATTAAAAATTGTTATAAACAAATATAACTTACTTTAAGGAAAATTTTTACTTTACGGTTTTAAATTTATAACGCAAATTAGGTTAATTCATTGTTTCTAAAACTTGTCTTCATTTTTTTTTTCAGGAGATGCGACGACAAAGAACTTTGTCCTACTTATAATCGAGATACATTGTCCACCGTTTGTGCTTCCTCAATGATACTGGGACTTATAACTTTGCTATCTGTATCGCGTTCTCTTACTTAAGACATTAATGAATTAATATTTTTTATATGTTGTGTAAACCAGGGTTGAAAAGTTACTTTTTAAAAGTAACGCGTTACCGCTAAAAAATCGTTACTTTTCGTAACTTTTTTTGTAATTATACGGGAGACGGACCTACTCATCGATTTTGATGAAATTAGGATCATTCGACGTATTTTTGCATGAAATGAACGAATCTGGCAGAAAAATAAGTGTCACTCTGCCCGGCGAACCGAGATATTAATGATTAAAGTTGATGACTATATATATTGAGGTAAGGAAATCTGTCAGATTCGTTTATTTCATGTAAAAACCCGTCAAATATATGATCCTAATTTCATCAAAATCGATGAATAAGTCTTCTGCATAATTACACTTTTTTAAAATATTAAAACAGACTTCTAAGACAGAATGCTATAAGATAGAATATAAACTAAATATGAGATACTTAGAAAGATATTGATCTTTGAACATTTTTATCTTTTATTAATATTTTACATACTTATGTTTAATTCTATGGTATTTTATTATATAACAGATATTTTAGTTTTTAGTGTTCTTATGCTAAAGCGAGGATAATGAATGAAACAAAAATAGACAAAAAGTTTTTGATTTATTTATTACCTACAATCTTTATTGTCTGTGACGGCCGTGGTCTATAAAAAAGTAACGATCAAGAGTAACGAGGTAATTTCGAAGTAACGATACAATTTCGTTACTCGTTATTAAAGATTAAGGAAAATGTAACATACTTTTAATAAAAAAAGTAATTATGTTACATTTTTTATTAACTAATAAAAAAAAGTAACGAAAATGTGAGCAAGTAACGC